TCATGGCGGGGCAGGCAGCACAAGGCAGCAGCCCCCCCGGGTGCATCAGGGGGGAGGCACCACGGCAAGGGACAGGCCGCACGGAGGAGGACGCGCCAGTTCAATTTGCTGTGCTTCTCTACCTGCGTGTCACCACTCAGGGCTAATGAGCAGTGAGCTTGGTTTGGAGGTCAGTCAAGTGTTCACCTCTCTGGAAAATGAAAAGAGACCCAGGCCACGTGCTTCAGAAATGTCTTGGCCGGCCCTGGGGTGGGCTCAGCCACACTGGAATGGACACCCCATCCTACAGAAAAGGGGTTTATTTGGGGGCATGTGAGTTGGCCAACAGATACGGGAGCCTGCAGCTTTTTAGCAAGACTTATTATCCTCCCCCTACCAGTACCCAGGCTTTCAAGGGATTCCCAAATGCAGGTCAATTCGAGAACGGTGTTGGTCTCTGAGAGCCTGTGCTGGGAAAACGTCCTGGCCCTGCATCCCGGGGGCAGGGGGAAGGGAAGCACACCCCTTGATGAGCTGGCACCTCCCGTGTCCAGCCACTGTGCACACGGGATGCACATGGGACAGACAAGGGCTGAGGACATGCCCCTCATAGCTGCTGGTGAGGTGTGCGTCGGGGGTCATGAGCGACACCCCAAGGTGCTGCTCAGCCTCCCACTCTCACTGCCTTGGTGACAACATTTAACAGAGAAACAAGCGAATGATTAACTCCCTACCCAAATTCCAATTTTAAAATCTTACTTATCTTCCATGTCAGCACTTTGAGATGACTCTAATCGTCTCTCAGCTCTGTGCTAGGGAATCTGTACTGACACTGAGGGTTCGGATGAACAGAGGCTGTTCTAAAGGAGGGTGCTTCTGAGAGACACAGGCCATCTAGCCCTGTTTAAATAAAACTGTAGGGCCGAACCCGTGGCTCACTCGGGAGAGTGCGGCGCTGGGAGCGCCGAGGCCGCCGGCTTGGATCCTATATGGGGACTGAGCGTGGTGTGGGCGACACCAAGCCAAGGGTTCCAATCCCCTTACCCGTCACACACACAAAAAATAAATAAAACAAATAAATAAAACTGTAGTGACTACAGAGAAATCAAGGCTCTTTTAAATGTATTGCTTGAACTGATTAATAAAATGTAAACTTCCACCCCAGGCCTTTCCTGCTGGTCCCATGATATTGCTTAGTTCACAAGGCCTATGGGAACTCTGAAAGAGCGATGTTCTCATACTAACAGCTGGAAAAAGATAAATAGAATATTGAAATTAAAATGTTCTCCAAAAATAGGTGCTCCTTCTTGTTTGTGACTGGGTCACACACTCTAGGGGTCAGATGGAGACCAGCTGGGACCTTTTGTTCAGGACCTCCCCTTCCATGGCAGCATCACGAAGAGACCATGGTGGAAACAAGGGCCAGCCTACTGCAGGGGGTGAGGATGGGCCACGAGCCCCAAACCTGCACACCCCAAAACTGGTTTGTGCTTGTTTACTTTCCCAGATTTGAAAACCACAGACTTGGATTTACTAGGCATGATGCAGGCCCTGCAAAGAGCAGAACAGGAGCAAAAAAAAGGCTGAAGCCAGAAGGAAGGACAACTAAAGGAAGCTCGGATGAGGCCCCCAGAGCCCCTGAGCTGCAACACATACCTCCTGGTGAACAGCAAACCCGATGCTGACTGCCACGGTTGGGAACCTGCAAAGGAAAACAGAATGGTGACACTTGGATGCAAGTGCTCAGAGCTGCTGTGTGCTGGGCACACAGGGCCTTTCTACATTCTGGGCGTGTTGGTCTCTTACAAACTACTTCCTAAAATTTCACTAACTGCTTCCAAGACAGACTTAGCTGAGCATGTTGTTAAGACAGTTAACCTCAAAGGGAAACAGCATTCTGAAAGGCACGGGAGGCAGATATAGTTCAACATGACCATGCGACACCCAGTTAGTGATGATTGTAATAATCAGTTTTCTGGTTCTCAGACACCTAAGGGGCCGCAGAGACCTCCCAAAAGGCCAGACCCCATTCTGGGGGGTAGGGGTGGGGTGCAGAAGGGCCCTGGGCCACAGCCCCTCTAGTAATAGTGACATCCCCCTTGTCAGCAGCTCTGGTGGGCCTGTGGAATGGGAATCTCTCCAGGGCCACCGGGTGTAGTTAAGCTGGAGACCACCCTCTGGTGAAGCCACGTCATGTTCAGTGCCCTGGGTCCTTGGCCACCTGTGCGTGGCCCTGGACAATCACACATGACTCCCACACGCTTCCCACTGTCAGAGAGCTCCTGTGGTCACGTCCTGTCTCATCCCCAGTGCTGCAGCTCAGTTCCCTTCCCCTCCTCCCAAGGGACCCTCTGACCTCCTGTCTCCAAGGGCAGCTCTTAAATCTCACCTGCTATGTTCCTCTCTCCACACCCTACCTGCTTCTCTAGGGGGAATCCTTAAAGGGGTCCCTCTTAAATTCAACCCAACATTTTAAACAATGGTTTTTAAACAAATGAAGATTTCCTTCAACACTCTCAGTCTCTCACAAATGGAAAACCTTATTTTAAAAACAGCAAGATTCAATCATCTTTTTAAAGAGACTACTGACATACTATAGGTTTCTTTATATACTCCTGTCTTAAAAAATGTTGCTTTTGAAAAGACGACTCAGAGGCGGGGACACGTTAAAGCCTGCCGTGGAAGTGCTCCTGCTTCTGCTCACCTGTGCACAAAGTTGCAGGTGCCATCGATGGGGTCAATGATCCAGGTTGGGCTGTGGGTGAGCACACACTTGGCCCCAGAGGCTGCGGCCTCTTCTGCGATGAACCTGCGGAGGAGAGGCTGAGCCTGAGAAAACGTGTCGAGTGCAAAGCCCACGCTGCAAATTACGTCCAGTCCCATTACAGAAAAGGAGGCGCAGCAAAGAGACTGCATTATGGTTTTTCCAGGTCAGAGGCAGCCTGTAAAAGACCATCTGCTTTCCCTCTGTCTGCCAGTCTACCTGTGCAGCAGGACACCTTGGTGTGGATGTTTTGGAAGCACACCAGGGAACTCAAGGGGGCCAGACAGACAGAAGTGCAAGTGAGGAACACTGGGAAGCAGATCCTATTATAGAGCAAAGCTTCAGAAGCTAAAGTCTGTTTTGTCTTCAGTTGAGAGGAGAGGAGGTGGATGAGAGATAGCAGAGAACAGCGTGAGGACCGCAGGCTGGCAGGCTGGGGCCGGGACTTGGCTGTGGCTCTCCTACTGGCAGTGGTTCACCCTGAGGCGACAAGGGTTGAGTGCACCTGCAGCCTGGACCCCTGAACTGCACACACAGGTTTCCTCGCAGATCCCCTCCTGAAAGCAGGTGGGGGGCGGTGAGGCTCTTAGGACACTCCTCCCTGCTTCCGCCCTCCAGTGCAGATCCCCGCTCCTCTAAGTGGCCCCCAACATGCTCCCCTCCTTCAGGGACACGCTCTGCAGTGGGCCCTGTGCCAGCCCTTCCTCTGTAAGCCAGTCCCCAACCATCCTCACTAGCCCACAACCCCTCAAGCAGGAACCCGAACAGGACAACCAGCGTCTGCGGTGAGCTTGCAGGAGGGCCTCCTGGTTCGCTCTACTCGTGAGGGCCTCAGCAAATGGCACCACAGTGCCACCCGAAGCCTCCTGAGCTCATACTCCTGCTCCTTCCCTTCCACCCCCTCCACATGCACCTGCAGCCAGGTGTGCTCCTGGCCGCCCCTGCCAGCCAGAACCTCCCAGAGTCATCCTTGGAGGGAAAGAAAGGATGAGGCGCCACACCCCAGGACAGCGCCCGCTGCCCCATGTCCACCATGGGCGGGGCCCAGAGGCTGTGAGACCTTTGTTGTGCTTGGGGACGCACAGCCTTGCCAAGAGGTTTCCCACTAGGCTCTTGTGCCACATCCTCATCTGCACCCCAGGACAAAGACACCTGAGAGAACACATTTTTATTAAGAAGATAAAATGAGTGAAAAAGATGCCTCCGTCCTGTGCTGGCTTTGGTGCGTCCTGGGCTGAAGTCCTCAGCTGGCTGCGCGGTGCCAGACAGGCCGCCCTCTACCCGAGGGCTCCCAAAGGAACTGCGCCACCCGAGACATGGCATCAGTGAACTTCAGGACAAGATGGACAATGTGTTGTAAATGAAAAGACTGAAACGAAAACCTCTACAACTGCTCTGCCTGTTACAGTAGCCACTTGCCACAAAAGGCTATTTAAATTTAGATAAAATGAAGAATTCTACTCCTTACTCTCACTAGCCACATTTCCAGTGCTCAGCAGTCACACAGGGCCGGTGGCTACCCTAGTGGACAGTGCAGACAGTCTGTGGGGACAATAGCAAGCACCCTGCATACATTCAGATGTCACCTCTCCACACGCAGTGCTGTCACACACACTGTAGCCATCCTGGTCTCCAAACACTCTGGGGCCATCATTTCCATTTCACAGGTTATAAATTCATGCACACACAGAGTAATCTAGCCCTTCTCTCCCATAGATAAATGATCTAAAATACATCCATGATACCATGAGTATACCCATACATCATCTTCAGGCTGGTGTGTCCTCCCCTCCCCCCACCCGTGGCTCCCTGGAGGAACCCACGAATGAACAGGCAAGGTGCTGGGCCATGAAGACCAGGACAACTGAAGCTGGGAGCACTGGCAACACCAGGAGTGGGGCCTGGAGACCTCAGGCGGCAGCCTGCCCCCAGAAGCTTCCCCTTTGGGAACTGCCTCTCTGCCATCAGCCCCTCCCTGGGCCCCAAGGACACACCATCCAAGCATGCAACCAGAGTCCTTGCTCAGGGACTGGTGCTCCCCAAACAAGTCTAGATGGAACAAATGGCAGGAGAAAGACTCGGTGGCAGGGCCGGCGTGGACAAGAGCAGCAGTGCAGGTGATGTGCGTGGAGAATTACTCCACTTAGGTGGCGGCCCCCAGTGGTATTAGCTATGCCACTTTCTTAGCCAGAGACTTAAGCAACTTCATCTGTTTTTTTTTTTTTTCCTTTTTGTCTTTTTTCATGTCCAGCAACGGATCGCAACCCTCAGTGTCGCGCCCGTACCACTTTCTTAGCCAGAGACTTAAGCAACTTCATCTGTTTTTTTTTTTTCCTTTTTGTCTTTTTTCATGTCCAGCAACGGATCGCAACCCTCAGTGTCGCGCCCGTACCACTTTCTTAGCCAGAGACTTAAGCAACTTCATCTGTTTTTTTTTTTTCCTTTTTGTCTTTTTTCATGTCCAGCAACGGATCGCAACCGTCAGTGTCGCGCCCGTACCAGACCGGGATGGCAACGGGATCGCAACCCTCGGTGTTGCTCCCGCACCTCGCTCAGCCAGTGAGTGGGAACCGGGCTGTATGTGGGATCTGAACCCTCGGTGGGAGCACCGCCGCGCTCCCAAGCGGCGCACTGTAGCAGTGCACCACCGGGCCGGCCCAACTTCATCTGTTTTCAATGTCTGCTTCTGTAGCTATATGATTTCCCTTTCCTGAAATGGCTTACAATTATGTTTTTAAAGAAAACAGTCTACACCCTAAAAACACACATATACAAGGAGGAAGTGCCAAAACTTAAATTGGGTGCAAGGTTGATTAAACAGTGAAAATATAGGACTAACGTCAAGAAGGGAACAGAAACAACTCATGCACAAAGGTAAGCTCCCAGGAAACTCAGGAGGATGTGCGATTATTCTCCTTTTGAAACCTAATTTCAAGTAGGAAATTGGGGAGTTGGAGAGGAAACTGTTGGGGCGCCCCAGAAGGAGAAGGGAGCGCAGGTCTCCAGGCAGTAACAGCCAACATGTGTGTAGCTTTAAACATACCTGCAGCCCAAAGGCCAGCCTCTCAGCATGCTGATGGGCTCCTTAGGACACTCAGGGCCATGAGGTCTGTTCACCAAATGTGTAGGACACTGTCTAGGGGTTCACCAAGCAGCCTGTTCTACAGCAGCAATGGGACACTCCTGTTGGCAAGGCATATATTCTGCATAATGTTTTTGATGGGAATAACTCAAGATGCCCATGCTGAGCCCTAAACTTTTCCAGCAGTTGACTTTTCATGCCCTAGAGCTCTCTCCTCTTCTTTGCCCACCTCGTCTGAAACTGGGATGAGACCTCGCCTTTCCCTGCGTGCCTCATGCCCGCAACAGCAGCAGGGGCAAGGCCTCTGAAGGCTGACCGAGGCGTGGGCGATGTCCAGTCTTTGAGGCACCGAAAGTCCTTCCCTGGTATGTGGGGAGAGACGCAGAATTTTAATTTACTTAAACCTGACTTTCTTCATTTAGGAAATACCTACAGAACAGGAGAGAACATTCTACAACTCTGCGCAGAGGGAGTGGGGAGTCTGCTCTGTAGACACTACCCTGGGCAGACGTAGGTGTGAAATAATAGAGCCCTTCATAAAACCCTTTGGATCATCCACATAAAATCCATAACATAAATAGAAAAAACCAATGCATGTGATTAATTCAGGGAGCTCAAAAAACATGTCACAAGTCTTTCTAGTAGACAAGAGGAAAACAGCAACTGTGTTAAGGTTAAAAGTTTGGTAACAAGTTGGAATGATACATTCTGCTGTATGATTTAACAACTTTTTTTTCCTCTAATAGTTATAACAAACCCTCCTTGTAATTTTGACAGCCGCGTGCCTTTTTTCTTCTGGCCACTTAGTCTGTTTACTCTGTGACAAGGTCAGAATCATCCCCTCAGTCAACAAAGGAGCTGATTAATGTTACTTGGCCCTCAGCAGCCGTCCCCACGGGCTCCTGCCTGGAAATGACATGAGTGCCTGGTGCAAACCACAGCAGGAAAATGACTGGCAGCAAATGTCCCGCTGGTCGTGGCCAGGAACAGTTTTTCCACATCAAGAGCTGATGGTTTGTTTGACTCATGCATTCGACAGATACTGCTCTGTGCTGGGCACACTGCAGGGCGCCGGGTTACCATGTCCCCCAAGGGGTCCCAGACCAGGGCAGAGAAGGCAGCTGGACACACAGAGTGGCTCCAGCTTTGCTCTGCCTGAGCCAACCCAGACAATCTCTGACAAGACTGCTCAGCAGAAGGGGACAATGACCAGTTTACATCAATAACAGTGCAGTGATGCTACTGAACAAACTCAAAACCATCCTCCAAAAACAGGGTTAGCTATAGCCCCCGGAGCACCAGGCCCAGGCTGGGGCTGAGCTAATGTGGTTAATGTCAACAGTGTGCTTCAAAGACCCAACCTGTACACTCCTGACCTTGCTTTCCTGGCTTCTGTCTGTCATTACCACAGCACATTAAGAGCGAGTGCTGGGACCTAAGGGATGACAGTGGTTGGGGCCCTCATCCATAGGTGAGGAGTCGGGGGCTCTGAAAAGTGGAGTGATTCACCACAGCTGCGAGGGCTGAGGGCAGAAGCAAGTTTTAACCTTATCATTCTATGATTTAGTTGATGTCTGTCTTCCAGGTCAGGGACCCAAGATGGGATTTCACAGATGAGCAAAATAAAATAATAAAAGCAGTGAGCCTAGATCAGGTTGTTTTGTATTTTATTATGAAGAAAACAGTTGCAATCTATCTTTAATACTGTTTCATGAAAGATAAAAACAAGGAAGGAAAAAGCTCAGAATAAAAGTCTTTCCTAAGAAAGGATGATAAACAACTTTATGCTAACATATTAAGGGATGTATTTAAATATTTTGAAGGCAGAAAAATTACATCATACTATCTTATTTTATAATACATATGCAGTTTTTTCTCATTGCAAATACATCAATTCGTGTATGATCTAAAAGACAATTAAATGTCTAAGATACTGGTACTTTCTTTTTAATCTTCATCATTGGCAGAAACTAAACTTCACATACATATGTTGAAAAATGACTATTTCATTTGAATTTTCCAAGGCAAATGAAGCAGAGAATCTGAGAACCAATAGCCAGCCTTCGGTTGTGGCCCAGTGTCTGCCTGGGAGCCCAGGAAGAAGGGCGTGATGGAGAGCCTGGAGCTGACTGGCCCTCGTGGGCCTGGATGGGCTCAGCATGAGTGTGTGGACTGGAGTTTGGGAACCTTTGCTCTCAATCACTGGTTCCTGGACAAGTGTGAGCATCTAACTCTCCCGGGGGGCTTTTCCAGAAGTGGAGGCCTGGCATTGGCCTGCTGGGGAAGCTCCCCAGGTAAGCCTGACATACACCCTACTTAAGATCCACTGCTCTGGGTCATAGTTTTCCAAAGGGGCTCTGGAACCTAGTGGTCCCTGTGGCCAGAATGCCTCAGGGTAAAGGTGTGGGCATCTGTGCTTATCCCGTGATACAGTGACTTTCTACCCTGTGTATACAGCGCTGAGTATTTAAATTCACCTTGCACAAATAGCATCTACTCCATATATTTACACAGTAGTGACCCACGCCACTAGCAACTGTTGCCAACAGGGACAACAGGGCATGCATTTTCAGAATGCAGTTTGTCCTAGTAACCTGATGGAGACATGTCAGAAGTCCTGATAACTTCATTGAGCCTGGTCCTGCAGTGACGTCAAAGCCTTTGCCAGATCGCGCGTAGGCAGGCCAGCCCTCATTTCTGTCACAGCCATAGAAACCTCCAGACCAAAAGAGTTAATAAAGTCCTAGAAATAGCTATTGCTTACTATAGTGTTTTTCTTCTCAAAGAATAAAAGTGATCTGTATGATAAGTTCTTTTGACACTGCCATTTATTTATTTTATTTTATTTATTTATTTATTTATTTGTCCTTTTTGTGACCAGCTGCACTGCGCTCAGCCAGTGAGCGCACTGGCCATCCCTATATAGGATCTGAACCCGCGGCGGGAGCGCTGCTGCACTCCCAGCACCGCACTCTCCCGAGTGCACCATGGACTCGGCCCAACACTGCCATTTAATTAAAACTAGGTTTTAAAAAGTTTCAAACATTTTAGAGCTTATAAACATTATAACATATGCCAGGGATCCTTACTTCAAACCAAATAAAAAATAAAACAAGAGAAGCTCAAATACAAAAGTTGTCAGCAGGGCCGGCCCGGTGGCGCACTGCTACAGTGCGCTGCTTGGGAGTACGGCGGCGCTCCCGCCGAGGGTTCGGATCCCACATACAGACCGGCCGCTCACTGGCTGAGCGAGGTGCGGGAGCAACACCGAGGGTTGTGATCCCGTTGCCGGTCCCGGTCCGGTACGGGCGCAACACTGAGGGTTGCGATCCGTTGCCGGTCACGAAAAAAGACAAAAAAAAAAAAAAAAAAAAAAGTTGTCAGCAAAACAAACACAACCTATAGGCAGAGAGAATTCCAAAGGCAGAGCTGGCAACCCTGGGATAGCCTAACTAGTCAGAAAGAAATGGCAGGAAAAGAGGTGCATGCTTTCACCCTGGCTCGTGCTTTTGTTCGTTTAGTCATTCACAGGAAAAAGTGTATTCAGCCCCCATGTGCCAAACAGACGCTGAGGGAGACTGCCTTACATATACCTAAGTCCATGTGAACATGGAACCCGACAGTACAATAATCTGTGCCCAGAAACCAACAACCACTATTCCAGTTTTAGGAATCCAACACCTTTCAGAGATTCGACATAAGAAAGAAAAGACACTCCTTACGCCCAAGGTCCTGGTTTTCAAAATCTGTTCCACAGAACTGAAGAGGGGGACGTGTGGGGGTGGGGGTGGGG